CTAGTTTGGTTTTGGATAATTGATGAAACCTATGCACTAACCTTTGTCATGAGTTGTGATATGATTTAGGTTGGTGCAATCTAAGTATGGAGCATGGTGGCACTCAATTGAAGGTGATGATCACATGAAATAATGAGATGGCCACATGTGATGATGATCAAGTGCTCAACTTGGAAAAGAAGAAAGAGAAAAACAAAACCCTATAGAGATCAAGGCATAGGTATAAATAGGGGTTTTGTTTTGGTGATCAAGACACTATAGAGAGTGTGATCACATTTAGGGTAAATAGCCGTACTATTAAGACGGGTTCTTAACTAGACAATTCGGTCATCTAGTGCCACTAGGTGTTGGACTTCATGTATTGCATTTAGGCCTAGTGCACATCGGAGAGCAAGCAAAAATATTTATCAAAAATGTTTTGAGAAATGCTAACTTGGCTCTAACATGTTTTGAGAAAACACTTTGAGAGTTAGCAATGCTTGCAAAGAAGTGTTAAACTGCTTGTGGTTCGAATCGAGAATCAAAAATGCGGCTAATGGAGGTGTTTGCCTTGAGTTGGTCACCGCCCTAGGTGCGGCGGTGCACCGCCCTGGCCTGTCTGGTGACCGGCTAACCGTGGCCGAGAGCAGGAGATTCAAGGTGGTCACCGCCTTACCGGTGTACACCGCTACTGGCATGGCAGTGCACCGCCGTAGGGCGTCCAGTGCCACCATCACTTTTTGGTAGAGAGCAGAGGCAACTGAGGGGGCACCGCTATGGTCACCGCCATGGTGACGACGGTGCACCTCCCTATATTTTTAGAGAGGGTCGGTTTCGGAAACTTGGTTGTAATGGTCACCACCACCCCTAGGGCGGTGCCACCGCCATGCCATGTCCGGTGACCAACGGCTAGTTTTCTAGCCATTGGGAAGTGACCGTTGGGGCATCGCCAACCCAGGGGCGGTGTGCCACCGCCGTGTCCGGTGCCCCCACGTAGACAGCTCCAAGGGGTATAACAACTCTATTTGCTTGTGTGGCTATAAATAGAGGGTGTGGCCGACATTGGCCACTCTCTTGGCACCTATTACACTTGTGCACACCCTTTGAAAGCTGAGCAACACACTCCACTCACTTGTTCACTTGATTTCATTATCTTGAGTGAGATTGGAGAGCCTCTAGTGCATTGCATTGAGTTGCATCATCTTGTGGCACTAGTTGGGTGATTTGGGCTGGTTGTGAGCTTGTTACTTTTGGTGTTTGCTGACACCTAGACGCCCCAGTGATTGGAGGATCGTTGAGCGGAGTTGGTGATTGTCTCCGGCCTCGATTGGTTACTTGTGAGGGGTTTGTGCCTTTCCCGGTGGAGGGCCAAAGGCAACTCTAGTAAATTGCTCATGTCATTGAGCTACCACACTTGTGGGTGGGTTCTTGCGGTGTCCAATTATGTGGACAAGGTTCGTGCAACACCTCTTAGCCATCGAACCACCCAGTGTTGGTCGACACAACAGGAACTAGCGTGTCGGCAAGCACGTGAACATTAGGAGAAAAATCTTATGTCTCTTATGTGATTGGCTTTCTCTTAGTGATTGGATTGTCTACATCTTTATGATTGGTTCATTCCTCGACGTGGCGGTATAATAACCTTACTCACTCCATTACTTTTCCGTAAACTAGTTGTAGCAAGCTCTTTAGTGTAGCTAGATTTGAGAGCTTGCATTGTAGCTTAAGTTCATCTAGTGGAGCTCTTTAGTGTAGCCATGTTGAGAGCTCTTAGTGAGTAACAACTTAGCCTTGTTGTGTGCCTAGTGATCATAGCAACTAGAATTGTTGGGATAGGTGGCTTACAACCCTTGTAGAGCTAGAGCAAAATTACATTACGCCATTTGTTGTACTAATTAATTGCTCTAGTGCCTTATAGATATTTTAAATAGGCTATTCACTCCCCTCTAGCCATATTAGGACCTTTCAACCGGCGAGATCCATGGAGCACGAGCGAGATCCTTTGGAGGTGGCGCGATGGTGTTGTAGGGGTGTCGGCGGCGCTCCCCCACCCGAGCGAGATGCCCTCCCTACCCCCCACGGCACCCTCTCTCACCCCTGCGACTATGCTTCCCCCACCCTGGTGGCCATGGTGCTCCCCATGCCAGGCTCTCTCTCTCTCTCCCTATGTTGCATATGTTTGTTTCAAGTGTTTCAGGCGTTTCAAATGTATGTTGCCTTTGGTTCATATGGATGTTGTAAAAGTAGATCGGGGGATGTTGCACAAGTTGCATATGCTGCAATTGTTTCAGAGGCATGTTGCAAGCATATGTTTCTAGTGTTTCAGAGGTATGTTTCTCTGTATTTCCCGGACGCATGTTGCAAGTGTGTTTATCTGGATGTTGTATATGTTTCACACATACGTTGCATGTGTGTTTATTTGCATGTTTGTGTATGGTTGCAATGGTTTTCAAGTGTTTTTAGGTGGGTTTCAAGTGTTTTAGAAGCATGTTTCAAGTGTTTAAACTGTCTTCAGACGTATGTTGCAACTGTTGTATTTTGATGTTTCAAAAGTAGATCGGATGTTGCATCTTTCCTCCTCACCTTCTGCTGCATCTTCTCTCCCGGCGCTGGCATAGGCCTCGCGTGGAGCGCAAAACACAGTGTAGCGCGTGGGCGTTTGGACAAGAGTTGTTTTGTCTGACACTTCAACGACGAATCTCACTAGTGGGGGTCGTGAACACTTTGGCATTCATGACGTATTGTCAGGCGGATTACCATGGCTGAACCTAGGTCCCGTGCATGAAAATACGAGGTGGAGGAAGGAACGGCATGCCACATAGGTGAAGGTGTGTGGGGGCGATGGGGCAGAACGAATAAAAAGTCACAACACATGGAGGTGAGGACGGGGTCAGAGCAAGAGAGAGATGCCGTGGAAAAAACATGGGAGGTGTCTTTTCATCAGCTTATATAGTTTCATGTTGAATATAAGTGCTTCCAATAAAGGCCTACAAGAAGTTGGGTATTTGGGACGGGTGTTTTACTTACAAAAACAAGAGCTAATAGGCAGTAGTACACTAGTGCAAAACTGGGTCTTTATGTTCCATGGACCCATGTTAGATTCCATGTATAATAGTATTGCATGTAGTGTTTCTTATTAAACTCTAGTTTCTATAGTAGTGAAATAGGATATTTAGAATTGAGTCCGTCTAGATAATAATTGAGTGTTTGGAGAGTATCCGTCACTCAATTTTTTGTTCCCTAGTTCTAAAGTGGAGGGCCTAGATCGAGTCTCCATCTTATATATTCTTCTCCTTTTCGTCTTCCTCTACCTGTAGTCCCGCACAGCGCCACTCACCTTCGTCTTCTTGCCCGGCTCTAGCGGCTTCCTACTCTCCCGCTGTCACATCCACTGTCCTCCACCATTGCCTGACCCTAAAATCCATCAAATATGTGCCTCGTCCCCATCATCTTTGTCATCTCTGGCCAAGCTCCACCGCCTGCTTGGCTGGCGCCCGGTCGCCTCTGACTGTCGCCACGCTAACCTAGTGAATGTCACTGGGCTATCTCTACCACGCCCCTGCCCTTGTCCTGCCCAATCGCCTTTCCACACTGCTCGCCCGGAGGCGCATTATTGCCCCCGCGCCCGCCACCATCGCCAGAGTGACCTTCTCCACCAGCAATCCCTCTAAGCCCATCTGATTTGAGTAAGCACCCAAACCTCCAAATCCTAACCTTGCTAGAGTTGGAGAAGAAAACCATGTGGCATCGTTGGATTGGGTAAATAAAATCGAATGAGAGGAAGCAATGGATGAATTATCCGAGTTTAGCTTATTTTAAGAATTATAAACTAATAATATCTATTTATGAAATTGCAACTTACTTTCCATTTCACAAACAAAAAGTTACATTTCAATGTTCGATTTAGAAGATGAACATTGTCTAGATAATTATCGAGTTTTACGGCATGTTCGCTGGTTGGTTTCTGGGCTGATAAGCCCGTCTAGTGCTGGTTTGTTATGAGAGAAAAATATTATTGGCTGACTGATAAGGCTTGACTGAAACCAACAAACGAACATATTATTAGGCTGGGCCAACATCGGGCTCTTTCTAGCCCTTGCAGAGATTGGATCCGGCCCAACATTGTAACCAATTGACCGAACACCGAAGTACTACGAGCAACTTGTCTCCCTTAATAATAGTTTCTTTATCCCGGAAAGGTGATGACGTCTGGATCTAGACATGAACATGTGCAAGACAGCATTTTGCAAGCATGCAACACAGCAGAAGAGAAGAAAAGAAAAAGGCTAAACAATTGGAGAGGAGGCACCCATCAGTATCTGTTCAGGTTGAGGCCTCACATGTGTCGCCGTCCACTACCTTTTTATATTTTCTGCAAGCACAAAGATCTGATTAATTAATTATTATGTCAGCCCAATTGCCAATTTGGCCGCACCAAACAGACAGGAGAGGGATGAGTGAGAGTGAGAGGAGTGAGAAGCGCAAGTACAAAAAGGCAAAAGGGCGATGAAATTTCCATGCTCCAATGATTGTGCAGTCACCAACAACTCCGGATTTCATTCTACTCCAATCAAGCGAGATTAAGAAACGATTTTATAAAAGGTGGGTTGCTATCTGTCTCTGAGACGATGATGGCTCTACTGACTAACCAGATACAGTATTTATTAAGTCAGGCGTAATTTTCCATCGACGGTGTCAGAAAAGGACATTGCTCTGCACTAACAAATATCATTACGGCAATAATGTAACGCGAGCTTTGCAGCTTCAGCAGCCACCAGAGCTGCTAACACAATTCAAGAAAGAGAGAGAGAGAGAGCAGGGCTGAAGAAGCTGAGAGAGGAATCGCTGCCAGTGGAAAGCGGCAGAAGCAAGAACCAGCAAGAAAGGGGAGAGAGAAAGCCGAAGGACTTTTCCTCGGATTGGATCCTTCGCTTTTGGGGGAAGGAGAAGGCCCCTCTCTGTCCTCTCTCCGTCCTTGCGGAGGGCGGCGGCAGCAGCAGCAGCAGGAGGAGGAGGAAGAGATGTTCCCGCCTGGCCTGATCCACCACCGCCCTGACGCCTCAGCTCCCGGCGATGGGGCGCCGCGCTCCGGCCCCGGCGGGCCGAGCCTTGTACTGACGGCGGACCCCAAGCCCAGGCTGCGGTGGACGGCCGACCTCCACGAGCGTTTCGTCGACGCCGTGGCCCAGCTCGGCGGACCCGAGAGTGAGCTACTCCCCTCCCTTCCTCTCCAATCTCGCTCCTTTGGCGGTCCTGGTTTTGGCATTGGAGTGAAGAGCAATGCGTGGTTTTTGCATCCATTGGTTGTCCTCCTTGGTCTTCGGTAGGCGAGATTTCGTGGCGCGCGCGAGGTTCGGGAGCGGGGAATGCACAGGATTGGGGATGCTTGCGCTGAAATTATTGGAAAGTTCTGATCATTAGTGTAGAAATCCTGGAATTTAGGTTCGAGCTAAGCGCAAGTCGTTTGGACAAGTGCACTGTGCATTTGCGGTCAGATCTAGCGTGCCCGAGGCAAGATGGTATTGCGGGCGTGCATGAATGAAATTTACCTGCTTTCTTGCTGTGGACCATGTTGACATATATGGCATGGATTTCTGCTGCATGTAGAAAAGATGGGTCCTTTTGTTGATCACGTTCGGTCTTTGTATTATGATGGCCTGTATTGATGAAGTTTGATTGTTGAGGACAATGCTATGAGGTTGGTTAGTGTGGATTTTTTTAACGTAATGCTGGTCGCTGGAAGTTGATCCGTTGGGCCTACCAAAAAGTTGGTAATGTTTTCTCTGAGGTACTTATTAGCATACGCAAGCTTGGCTCTTGCATATTTGTAGCTCTATACGGTTTTTTCTTGTTCAAATTTCAGGCTCCAAGCATTTTTATTTTTGTTGATTTGTTTCTGGCATCATTGGCCAGTAAATCTAGCTATAGATGGTAAACATTCAAAGCTAAGGTAGCATATGTTTCTTTGTATGATTTTGAAGTTCCACCATGATTTTTTATGTGAAGTCAGGCAGAGTAGTCACCACTGTCACCAAATCCATTTGGATATCGAATTGTCGCTCTAATTAGTAGTATGCCATTAGTTACTTGTTATCACTAAACTAGGAGAGTACTATTTTAAATTCTAGTTCCATTTGTTTTGATATTATTTTTAATGAATAAATAATTATGCAGAAGCAACACCCAAAACTATCTTGAGGACAATGGGTGTTAAGGGTCTTACTCTTTTCCACTTAAAGAGCCATCTTCAGGTACTTTGGTGTGTGCTTGCATGTTCCTCAAAACTCTTAAAAAAATTGGTTCTAAAAGTTTCCCATGTGACCAGAAATACAGATTAGGGAAACAATCCGGTAAAGAGGGGTCAGAGCAATCAAAAGATGGTAAGTAAGTTATATTAATCAATGTACTGATCTTTTTATTTTCTTCAATTAATATTCAATTCTTTGTGTCAAAGTTCAATTAATATTCAATTCTTTGTATGCATGTTTATTATTATTCTGATTAATTAATGGTCTTTCTATGTTAGCTTCATCATTTTTTTCATAATTATGAATTGATATATCATTTGTGTGAGTACATATTGTATGTAGTCTTTTTATGGCAGATGAAAACCGATGGTAAGTGTTCGAGAAAAAAACCGACAGTAAGTTTGTAAAGGAAAATGTTATTTTTTCCTACTTATAAAATAGGCATCTATTATGAATCAACAGCCTCTGAACTTAAGATGCAGAATGAGTCTAATGAGGAAGACTAAAAGAGGGTCAGAGTAGTTTGTTCTTATGGTTAATGGGGATACCAGGGCAGAATGGAACTGCTGAAATTGCTGCAGGGGCGGATTTAGGCGTAGGGCCACTGGGGCTGTGGCCCTAGGCTTAGCCCAAAAAGTTCAGGTACGACTTTAAAAATCCTGTGGCCTAATCCCGCACTGCTATGGGCCGGCCCTAGTCATCCACCCATGGCAGGCCTAGGCAGCCACAAACCTCCTTGGCCCCCCTCCTGATCCATCAAATCCATTGGATGTAGTTCCGCCTGTGTGTCTATCGCCTCTCCCATCGCATCTCCAGCTCCCTGCCTCTGCCCCTCATTCCAGACCGCCAAACCCTAGCTTGGTAGCTCCTACAATCCCCCAAACACGACTCCATAGTCCAGTTGCATGCGGCCAAATTGATTCATGGCCGATGACAGGCCCGTGTGGCCGGTGTTGGGGCGCTGCTTGTATGCAGGCAGACGGGTCAGAGGAGCACGAGGCCAGTGGTTATGCGTGCATTATCAATATGAAGGCACTGAAAGTAGCAGTACTGGCCAACAATGGTCGCCACATAGTTGCTTGCAAATTGCAATGAACATAGGTTCTCTATATTTCCAATTGCAGTTTTTTTGCAAGTATAGAAATTGAATTCTCATGTCTCGTTTAAAAAAAGTTGCCTCAATTACCACAAACTAGTGCAAGTTGACATGTTTCATTCTTGAATCATGATTGTAACTTTTTCATTAATTTTTTAAAAAAATCACGGATTACCTCAAACTAGAACATGACCTGGTATGAATGGTCTAGGAGCTTAGATGGTGGTGTAGACATGGCGATTCACCAGCTCCACCGCTGAATTGCTGCATCATGGGAGTTAGAAGAGAGAGGTGTTCAGGTGGTCCTTCCCTAGTAAAATGTCATGATCTCATGGCACGGACATTGTTAGTTGACAAGGATGTATTGATACTATATTTTGTAAACCGATTTAGTTATATGCGTTCAAAATGCCCTATCAAACAAAAACTGAACTTGCCTCATATACACCTCCCAGGAGGTTACACACATGTGCTACTAATAATGATACAATGTTGATGCATATTGTCATTCTTTGCCAAGGCCTAGATTTTGTTCTCATTTGCGATTTCAATTCATTTTCCCCAGTGCAAATCAAGTTTAAGGCATGGATTTAGCACTTGACGGCTTGACCTCAGTTAAGTGAATGCAGGTGCCAAGCATCACCGTTTTCGTGCGATAGAGTAACAAACCATGCAGCGCTTGCATGTGTAGCTGGAGGGGCTGATGATGTGCTAGCGAACCTTGAGACCCAAGGGGTAGTACAGGGCTACAGGCATAGTAAAACTGACTACAGATGTAGCAGATTTTAGTTAGATCTGGATTATTTGTGACTCATGAATATGATAAATTTAGCCCTTTCATAATCCATCCACTTGGAATAATGTTCGCCCTTCTGTGTTTTAATATTCGAATTTTTTTTTAAGGAGCACCTGACCACCTTTCACTAGAAGAATCTGTATAGGAAGAAGCATGTTACCGTTAGTCGGTGAATATTTTTTCTTTCTCAAATATGCAGGAGAACTGCATACCATTGCATTAAGAAGAAGAATTTAAATATTTACAATAACCCCAGACACCAAACAAACTTCAGGTTGCATACTCCGCAGAGACAAAAGATAAACCTGACTAAAGCTAGCTAAATGACCTTAAATGGCAGCAACCTCAAGTTGCACCGAACCCCAGCTCCTGCTAAACACAAAAGGTGTCCTTCCTCAGTTATCTGTCTGAGGATTGACTGCATGTCTGCATGCTTATTTGCTCACAAATTTTCACATGTATTGTAGCAGAAAACTGTGGATTACTATTATGGATTTGAATGTTTTGAGATCTTCCATGTGGGCACATCCCTTCTAATTTAAGAGGCCTTGGCTATAAACTGGGGGAAAAAAGGAGAGCAGCTCATGTTAACTCTTTATAAATTCAGTCTACAGTCATGCTTCTGATAGGATCACCACACTGCCGACATGCATAATCGTGTCCAGATGGAGATGGAGGCCTCCAATTGCATCCGCATATATGCAATAATGATTTTAAAAAAAAAGGAACAAATTTAAAACCATATGTTTGTTTTTTTGGCACTACAGTGTTTGTTTATATTATTACTAAATTAAACGGTGTTGTCTTTTTTCTTGAAAACGCAGGAGAGCTGCACTTCATTATATTAAGAAGAAAATGGGACAAGAACCCAGTTACAACACACACCACAAACACCACCCTTAATTAAACGGTGTTGTCATTGCGTACCACCTTTCCTCTGCAGTTATCGTGTCTTTGCCAAATCTTTAGCATGGCCTGTCTTCAGGGATTTTTCTTTTTAAAAGAGCAGTATTAATCTCATAAGGTCTAATTGTATGATACTGCATGGTTTAGTACTATCAATCATCAGTAACGAAATAAAATAGAGGAATATCTAGTGAAAACCCGTGTATGTATGTGACTTGTATATAACTTCTTACCATATGGCATATGCTCAAGTTATCCATTTTTCTTAGTCTAAAGTTTGAAAGCAGTGAAAGAGTTCTTTTGGTTCTTGTACTAATTTCTGACCTCTGTTTTGCACTTACCTTTCCCCAAACTGCAGCATCCTATCTTCTAGATGCTCAAAGTGGAATGAGTGTGTCCCCTAGAGTTCCTGCCCAGGAGATGAAAGAGTATGGTTCATCAAATATTCCTTGTCCAGCATATTAGTTTATTCTTCTTCGTTTTCGGCAGATTGAATACTCTTAGACTATTTACTGTGGTTATGCTATTCGAAAGAGTTAATGTCATGATTACTTGCTGCAGAAGCCAAGAAGTTAAAGAAGCACTGAGAGCGCAGATGGAAGTGCAACGAAGACTGCATGAACAAGTGGAGGTAATTCTGATTATTTGTCCTATTATGCTCTTAAATTAGTTTCCTGGATTGTGGAAAGCAAGAAAATGCCAACTCTTGTATTTTCTGCAATAGTTTTGCTTTTGACACACTCATTGAGTTGAGAAGTGAAGCTTGGACTAGAATTTGTTAATATATCCTTTATATGTGAATGATGCAGAATCCTTAGGTTTCACTTATCCATATATTCACTTAACTAGTGAACTGCATTTGGGTTCTAGTTGAAAGGACAGTCTCATTAATGGAATATGAGTCAATTCTTCCGAAGGAATTATGAATCCACCAGCAAAATTTTCCATAATCTGTGTGTTCTTGCTTGAAAGTAGTATTATTAAAGGGTGCTTTCAGGTTTGCAAAAAGTGTGATGATTAAATGGTTTCTTAATAAAAGTAAAAACAAAATCTCAGGAAACAAATGATTAGTTTAGGGGCTGAGCTTAACTGAAACATTGTGGACAACAGGACCTTCAGGATATCTGCTCTCTAATGGAGCATATCTGAACCCAATGCGGGATGCATCTATTTGTAACAGTCACGACAGTTTGTGCTTGTGAAGAAATTTGCAGTGTCAACTTGAACAGCTGCATACAAGGCCTGCTCATTACAATCCTTGGCTGCTTTTACTATTACCAGGTCCAAAAGCGTGTGCAGATCAGAATGGAAGCGCTTCAGAAGTACATCGACAGTATCCTAGCGAGTGCATGCAAGATGGTCACTGAACAGTTCGCTTCAAGTGGCTTCAGTATCTCCGACCCTGATCTCCCGGAGATATCCCCTGGAGGGATCATGTGTGGCCCCACGGACACATTGAGCTCCTCAGTGTTCAACCAGCTTTCTGTTAGTTCCATCGACTCGCACAGTCCAGGAGGCAAACCTTCTCCATCAGGCATGGAAGGTCCGCCATTGCTCCTCCAGAAGTCGCCTGAGCTCAAGCGGAGGTCCTCTTGAACTGTGACAGCAAATTCTGAGGTTGGTAGTGATGTCCAATACGGTGGTGACAAGGAAATGGTGGTCCAGTCTTGTGGTAGCTGACTTTCTCCAGGTAGCAGGATGTGCTGTGTTTGTCATGGGATTATGATTCCAGCATCCTTAGCGCACTTGAAATATTGACTCGTGTCCTACTGTCGTTTGTGTTAATCCATGTATGCACAATGATTCATGTTGGGACATGTTAACAGCTGATGTTTAAAGCTTCGTATTTATCTCAGTTGTCCATGCAGGCTTCCCAACACTTCCTGCAATTTAACTTATTTAGCTCTGAAAGATTCATACTGAGTCTGTAATCCACAAATTGCTAGTTGCAACATAGAAAACTGCTTGCGCATCCTTTCTTAGTTATTGAAACTTTGAACTGTATTTTCTTTTCTTCATTTGAAAGATCGAACTACTTATTCAGCACAAGATACAGGTTCTCCGCATTAAGCTTAAAATAATGAAATTTCGAATTTTTTCATGTTGAACATTTTCAGAGAATAAGCTGAAAAAGCCGAGACAAGTCTGTCACAATAGCTTTCAAAGTCAATTGACATGATGGGATAGCTTGAGAATGCTTATGCCAGATCACTGGTACATAACAGCGACGTATGAAACAGAACTCCAGCAGCTAGTTTTCATGCCTCTGATAAGGCCCCATTTAGATTCAAAAAATTTTGTGCACATCGAATCTTGCGGCACATGCATGGAGTACTAAATGTAGACGAAAAAAAAACTAATTGCACAGTTAGGTGAGAAATCGCGAGACGAAACTTTTGAAACTAATTAGTCCATAATTAGACACTAATTGTCAAATACAAACGAAAGTGCTACAGTAGCCAAAATCCAAAAAAAAATTGATCTAAACAGGGCCTAATTTGAAGTTGGTAGTGAAGTCTTCAACTCTGCATTTGCACAATTTTCCTAAGTTGTCGAAAATCCCTGGCCCACTGTCGGGTAAATTTTCATCCAAAATTTTGATGATTGATTAATCAACATTCAATTTGCTCCAAAATTCATTTCCCAGCATAAATTTGCAGGATCATACCACACCACCATTGAACTCAAAAACGGTAGGATCAGTTCGTTTTCGTTCACAAGTAGTACATGTCACTTTTGTGGGATGTCACTGTCGTAATCTTAACATTAACCCCAATTTGCCATGGCCAATTAACCATCTCCAGCACACAACAAGGGTTCCAAGGGGAAAAGAACATGGCTCACATCAGTGACTTGTCCAAAGGACTGAAAAGCGAATATTCGCAGCATCGTCCTGAAGATGCCCCCAATACAAGAATCCAAAACCAGAGCAAAATGCAAATACAATTAGTCTATTCGCTGGTTGGTTTCTGAACTGATAAGTTCGACTGGTGTTGGTTTGTTGTGAAAGAAAAATATTATTAGCTGACTGATAAGTCCTGGCTGAAACCAACAAGCGAACAGGCTGAATAAGCCTTGGGTTACTGTGTCTCCAACAAGGATGGTAATTCTGAGAAAAGGCCTGTGCTTGGACGCACATGTAATTTACCCAGACAAGGGTGGCCTGCTCCTCGAGCGGGAGCACCATCCACGTTGTCCAAAATATTTTTGGCCATTGGATTTTCGATTAGACGGTTTAGATTTATTGAAGCGGCTTCCCAGCGAAGTAGCTTCTCGTCCTGCTTCTCACCTTATCTTCGGCTTCTCTTCCGCTTTTTTAACTTCTGATCCGAATCCGGTGAAACGAATATATACACGGCTTCTACTTCTCTATCCAGATTATTCTTTACTCTTCCTCTCTCTCACGGTCCGTTTCTCCCTCTCCATGGACGCGGTCACGGGCGACGACGCCGACAGCGCAGGGCGGTGGCGGCGGCAGCGGCCTCCTCCTCTCCACCCACGCCGTCCTCTTCCTCCCTTCTCCCACGTCGTGCCCTCCTCCTCCTCTCCCTGTCTCTTTGCTCGCTGCCTCTCCTGCCGCAGTCACGCCAACGGCCGCCACTGCACGCGAGCGGGGCGGCGCCTCTCCCACCTCCATCCCGCCTGCGTAGCTGCTTCCTGGTGGCGCCTCTCCCATCTCCATCCCGCCGGCGTCGCTGCTTCCTAGCGCCGCCGTCTCCTCCCTCTCCTCCGCGTGTCTTGTTGTGCTACAGGAAACCCTAGGTATGTCTTGATTTGTTAATTTGTATAGTTGAGTTGTGCTACTTTTTTACATGGGAGGCCTGCGACGCGAACTAGGTGAAGATACATTGTCTCTCTTTACCGTAGAGATCCTTGCAAAAACACACATCCACGTCACCCTAAATGTTTTCGGCTATGGGATCTTTGATTGGATGGATGCGGTGTGTTTTGTTCAATGAATCCCTAGCAGCCATTTTTGTGTACACATTCCTATCATATTGTCTCAATTTGGTTAGTTCATGGTTTCATCTGTGATTCGTATTTATTTTGGTGGGTTCAAGTTTGATTTCATACATGTTCAATATTGAGAATAGTGCTTTGCCGTTTGTACGGTTTTGCAGTGCACAGAGTTTTCCTTAGAGAGTCAAGATTCATAGTTTTGGAGTGAGTTCGTAACAAATCTTTTTACAGGATTGGCACTGCGGACAAAGTCAAAGGCACTACCTGTTGCCTTGCCACGCTTTGGTCTGGTATATTTTTCCCTACCTGCAAATGCTATTCGAATTCATATATAATCAGCATATCTTTTTAGCTAGCAATAATGCATTCCGTTTAGTACCAAATGTTTAAAACTCACAACTACCGATGGATTGGTTGCAGTTCATTTGAAGATTGGTTGTTCCTTTACAATGGCAAGGCCAATATAGATTAAGCTATTGTCGTTACTGCAGGTCCTGGTAGAAACCTTGCTTGGGGATTTTTTTAGATGCTCAGATTATTAGCTCATTTTGTTGTTCCTCCAAATTAACTAAATCTGCAATAAGAACACTTGCTTACATGATGCTGCTGTGAATGAAAAATTGGATCATCAAGCAATTAGCTTCCATCTTCTTGAGAAGCAGTCTATTCCAATTGGACCGTTTCGATGGTTCACTACGGTGCCAACAATGACTATGCACAGCCATGTTGGTTTAAACTATGAATCTATATAAAAAGTTCATAGTTTATATGATCTAATAAACTGTTGACATTCTCCCATATGATCTGATAAGTTTCAAAGTGCAATGCACGTATAATTTCGATATTGATTGCTAGACTGCTATATTGCTTAAGTATTGACGAGCGAGATCGTTGTTTGTATTTAGCCTTGTTTCATACTTTTGCAGGCTGATTTGTACGTCCTCTACTATAGTTTATCTAGATGATACATTGGGTGAGGAGATCGATCGTTGTCGTTGACTACCGCAAAAGGATCTGCTTTCTACGACAAATTACAGCCAAATTCAGGTTAGATCATGCTCAAACAATAATATTGAATTGTTACAGTCCAGCATCAGCTAGGTCTCACAAAATGATTCAGATTGATCATGATTATCTTATTTTTTACCTACCTGAAGCGAAATAATACACTCAAATAATGAAGCTTCAGATTTGGCTCCATGCTCCAGTAATATACCTCATTCAGACATACATAAAGCAATTTGTCATGTGTGTCACATAATTACACTTCACAACTTATGGCCATGAATTGTTGGCCCTTTCCTGTATGATCTGATATGTTTTAAAGTATAGTACACAAATTATTTCTTTATCAATTATTTGACTGCTACACTGCTTAGGTAATGACAAGCAAGATTGTCGTTTAGATTTGGCCTTGTTTCATTCCTTTGTATGTTGATTTGTACATCCTACTATAGTTTTTCCAAGATAGTAATTTGGATGAACCGATCCATCATCGTCATTGACTAATGACTAACACAGAAGGACGTGCCAGCTCCAGCTAGGTCTCACAAAGTGATTTAAGTTGACCATGACGATCTTATTTTTATAAACCTACCTGGAGCGAAATAGTATGCTCAAATAATGAAGCTTCACATTTTGATATGTGCTCCGGTAGTATACCTCATTCAGACATAGAATAAGCATTTTGTTATGTGTATCATGCCTGCCATTTTTCACTTTCAAGACTCTAATCTTATTAACTAGAAAAGATAATGCATGTACTTCAATTCAACCTTTTAAAGTCTTGGTTCTGGCTCTTGGCATCTCCAATCATTTTTATATGTACAATAATGTTTGTTATAGGTGTTTGGAGTTAATTAGGAAATAGATAAATTTGCTCAGTTATTGAGTATCAATATGCAATTTTTAACAATAGGACCCAAAGCTTCACATTTATTTTTCTGGTCAGCGTGCTTTGATTTCATAAGCTTTGTAGAGTGACACTCATGAATTAGGACTGAAATAACCATTTCTATGCCAGGTTTCCTATGCTAGCAGATTTTGGTTCGGTAGCTACCGATAACAACTACAAGTGTACCGATGCGTTTTGAATGGTTACATATAGTGTTAAGCTGTGATCTCCTTAAAAAGGCATCGTTTTAGTATGAACTAACCTTCAACAACGGCTCGAGAGGTGGCCTGAAGATGCCTAAAGTTCATGCATCAGGTGGTTTCTGTTTAGTCGAGTATACTTTTAGGCGCCAAATCTCTCAGCTTATATGATCGAGTTAAATAGGTATTGGGCCTTTGCCATTAGAATGTGAAGGCCACCTATCACTCACATTCCCTATGATGATGTATAGCTACAAGTGTTTGTTTTTATTAGAAAAAAAAACAGGTTCTATTCCCCTACGTGTTTAAAGAAAGGCTATGACAAATGGGAACTTGACAATTTTTATCTTGTCTGATGCACTGCTACTATATCTTCGAGAGGTTTCTTTCGATTGCTCGGATTCTATAGAATGAGTTCCCATTCATACAGCTAGCCACCTCAATTTACATCTTACAATGTCTATCATCTCTCGCTTTCATAAATGTTGGGGCCAAACCTCAATCTGAGAAATTGTCGACGTCTAACTTTTTGACTGAATTTA